TTCAGCCGTTCAGGCGTTTTTGTACAATAATCAGTCATCGATATACCTACATACACATATATAATAACAGCGGGTATGCAATGTTATTCTAAACTGTAAACAACAACACCTATCTACCCACCACCTACAAATAACAGTAAGATATTTCTTTTTTTATTTATGTATAAACAAGATAAAATCAATTATCAACGGCTATTGACACAACGAGGAAAAAAACCATAACAATGCGATAAAAACATGTTGAAATTAGTTACTTTAATGACTCTGGTATTCGAACCGTTATCTTTAGGGTTAATAACTTCCAGCCATTGAAACTTTAGAAGATAATTACCATTTTTTGCTCCACTAACACACAATTTTTTAAATAGGTACCAGATTAAAGTGTGATTAGTGTAAGTGTTAATTACTGTCACGTGTAGTCCAGTATTTAACGTGTTCATAGGCAATGAATGAGTTCAAACTAACTATATGTAACAAAATATTTTCAAGGAACGGCTACATATTGATATTATAGAGGTCTATTATTTTGTCAAATATATAACCTAAGGAAGAGATACGTTAGGTCGTTTTAGGAGTGGTTGGCAAAAGCGGACGCCAGGGTTGCGGGTTAAGTGCAGCAAAGAGTCACTGCGGCCTCGGCCCAGAGCAGGAGAAGGAACGGGGTTAGTCAGTAAGAGAGAGTCTACACTCTCTCTCACCTTCCCTTGGCGGGAGCGGCCATTTAAGACGATTTTCCCCTGACAAAAAAGGGTTGCGGGGCAAGCACAATAAAGTACCGCGAGAAAAACCAGGTGAAGGAACGGGATGGTTTTTAGCCAGTCCGAGTTTGATACGCGATATTCTCTCGCTCCACCCAGGTTGAAAGAAGTCATTTGATGATTTTCGCGTCTCATAAAAAGGGCATGGAATCTGATTAATTTCTGTTAATATAATAACTTTTTTTAAATGTTGATAAGCATCCGTCAAGTCTTTTCCCGCTGGCGTAGGATGGTTGTCAGAGTCTTACTGACTCAAAAACCATTTCGTTACTTCTCCCTCACTTCGCTTGCAGCCGGAACCCCGTGTTAGTGGCATTAATAATTCATAATATAGATACAGTGCAACCTTACAGAAAACCGGCGTGAAACAACCACAGCGTTGTGTTTCGCCGTGTGAGTGGGGTTACCGAAGGCCCAATCCTTCCCCTTCCCCAATCCCTCCCCACTCCCTAAATCTCCAAATCCCCAATCCCTAAAAGGTCGGCAACGAACTAACTTCTATAATTAACTCATCCGTTGGACACCCCATGGGTGGCGCTGATTGCTTACCATCAGGTAATCCGTCTACTCGTTTGCCGACCTATTACATAAAAAAGACTAAAAATATGTAGCTGACATATATGTACATATGATGTGGAAACAGGTCCTTTTAAATCATCAAAAAGCAGGTGTAATATGTTATATGTGACAGTTCGGGAAAACCCAATTTAGGGAAAAACAAACATATTATAATGTTACTTATGTTTATATTACTTGTTTTATTATAGTAGGCGGAACTGTCTTAGGTAAATAACATTAATTATGATGTACCTACTTAAAAATAGTTTCGTTCCGGCAATTAATTCATAAAATTTGTAGTAAACAAATATTAAATTAAGCAGGTAGTAGTTAAATCAGTTTTTCTAATTGTAATTAATAATTATGATGAGTAGGCAGATATTTATCTTTTAATTAACACGAACACATGTTAAATCGTACCATCAATTAGTTTAAATTTTATAATCTAATACATAAAATTCTCGTGTCACAGTTTTCGTTGCCATACTCCTCCGAAACGGCTTGATCGATTTTATGTGCTTATCCGGTATCTACAAGAATTGGCCAACATCTATTTTTCATCCCCCTAAATGTTAGGGGTAGTACACCCCTATGACTACACGGTTGGTGCGGTGGTTGGGCAACTGGCTGCCGTGCAACGTGTCGCGGGTTCGATTCCCACACGGAACAACTCTTTGTGTGATCCACAAATTGTTGTTCCGGATCTGGGTGTTATGTGTATGTGAAATTGTATGTTTGTAACCGAACCCACGACACAGGAGAAAATCCTAATGTGGGGAAATGTTTTAAAAAAAGAGAAAGTTAAAGAGACCTCTAATTTTTATTTTTTATTTTTTAGACAAAATGTTTAATTTCTATTTTTATGATACAACATACAAAAATACGGGTCAGATAGTTTGAATATAAGTTAAGACGAAGATTTAATAAAAACTTTAAGTTGCCGATGGCGCAATCCGCACCCTCCCTCCTTTACTATCTATCCCCAAATCCTTCATTCTTAAATTCCTCCCACTAAAGACCGGCAACGCACTTTGCCATGCTGCTTGTGTCAGGTGATTCTGCTGCTCGTTGGCAGGGCTCTTAAATAAAAAAGCCCGAAATCATTTTAATTTTTATCTATAAAAACTAATGTTAAGATATTGCGTCGTGTCGTCCTAACGTAACCTTATTTGTGTAAGTACAATATGAAACAATTTTTTAATAATCCATAAATCAATTTTGTTGCGAGAATTTTAGCGGAAAGCATTCTTCAATCAGGCAACACGAGGTCAAATATTTTTACTATAGTAACACAGGATTTTGTAACGCTTAATACCTACTTGGTATTGGCTAAGAGATAATCTGCACTAGAAATCCAATGTAACTATAGCGGCATTCCCATGTTCTGTGAATATTTTTGAAGCTTGTTTATCTATCGTACCGCATTGACTACATTATGGTAGACAGTAGTAGGGCTGTCTCCCTGATTAATGAATAAAACACTGTTTAATATAGAAGATTTAAATAATTAATAATAAAAGATTTTTTGGGGAATCAGGGAATTGCTTAGTTTTGCCCGCGTCATGAGTGCCTTAACCTCCTTCCAACCAAGACACTTAAATAAATGTGGATACTTTAATGTAAACTTCAAATAGAATCTAAAATGGCGGATAAGTATTTTGTCGAACAGTCAACTTAATAGAAAAATTAATACCTACTTAAATAAGCACTTGACAAGCCTATGTCGTAAACCTAGTTGCCAACCTTCCTACCTACATGACGGTGCCGAGAATCCGTACAGTACATATTCTGATCAACAATTCAGAGTGTATTGTTTGATGCGCATGAGCATGCTAGAAAGCTACTGGTTTTGTAACTAACGAGCGAATGCATGCCATTAACATAACCATTATATGGGTGCTTGCATATTTATTTCAAATAGCACATAACTAATACCTATAATTTTGTAACACTACTCAGTCCTTAAGTAATATTATTTCAGTTATTTAGTTTATGTTATATAACTCAGGTATGTAAACTGCTTATCTGTATACCTACCTAATAAATAAAATATGACATATACTTATGCTAAAATGTAAATAGTTTGTCCTCCTTTTCCATTCTTGCTCGTTATCAGCCAATTTCCACTCTATCGTATCTCTTACAGAATTAATACAGAAACTATAGGTATAGTTATAGGTGTCGACTATCTGTTCTTTCTCTACTCGGACATGATAACATTTTCTTATAAATAATTATTCTTTCTTCACTTTTTTGTGTGTGTTTGCCAGGTGGTTTGCCCCATGGCAATCTCTCGATCTCCTTCAACCTTTTCAATTATGACCGTTCTATGGGCATCTTATCCATCCATCATATGGTCCCATCTTATTTATGTGCCACTCTTTACTATATAAGTTTTGTTTAACATGAAAAAAATCATTTATTCGTTTTTCTCGACAAGGTGGAGGGAGTGTCAAACTCTTACTGAGTAAAAACAACCCAGTTCCTTTGTCTTGCTCTAGGTCGGGGCCCCGGTAGATTATTGCACTTACACAACACACACAACTTACAACTTCAACTATCAAAATACAATTTCCTCCTTCAACCAAACTACCAAATTCGCCTGACCATATTTTACTTTACGAAACTTCTTGAATATTTGTTAATTGTATTCCAGGCATGTACACATGTATTGTATAGGTACGTGGGGACTTACATAATGAAGTTTTACCTAAGTGACACTCACATAACATAATATACATACGTAGAGTTGGGACATGAGGTTACAATATCATACAAAACAGATTTACCATAGAATACATATTTTTTTGAACTCTATTGCAATTTACATATGATTTCGGTTTATAATTTTAGCCCAACGTTTGTTCAAATATTGGTTGGGGTAAACCAACTTCTTCAATCCAATTCACACATGCATATTGCATGGTGCAACTAATACTTTACTGTTCGTTATGGTACAGCGGTCAAGGTATCGATGAGATACACTTTCAATGCTGCCACATTGCGGAATAGAGAAATTCTAGATGCGCCCGCGACGATATCGCGGAAATAGGAAACTTATTGGTTATTTTGATGCCGGTACTGACAAAGTTTTATATCAATTGTCAGTTAATCACTATAAATATAAGGGTATTCACGTGGTTTTTCTTCATACTTATTATTTAATATTGGACCACGATCATTTGCTGACAAATCGACAGGTTTAATGATAAATCAGAGGATGTATAGAAGGGACCTGTAAAACTACTCTTCAATTATTAAAACCTTTTTAATTCACTATGTTTTCCATTTCACGTTAGCAAATCTTGATATTTTTGAGTCTTTTGACAAGTAAACACGAAGTGACATTAAAATATAACAAAGTATTTTGTATGACGAAGATGATACTGTTGCTTACATTGCATCTTCAATACATGTTTCACTTTTACACAACGCGCCGATTAATAAGCATTGCCAATGTCAATAGCCCATGAATGCATGTTTCATCACCTCACTTCTTGCGCCTGTTTACGCTAGAACGGCGTTTTCTTATATATTAGTAATTTGCTAGCATATCGCAGAAAATCGTGTGTACTTTATATACACATAGACGAAAGGAAGTAAGTTAAAAAAGTGACAAATATCCGCTGTTTATGTCATAAATTCTACTTCATTATAATAATCACGCTACTTTTTTTGTTACAGATAATGTTAAGGAGAAAAATACTTTTAGCATTCACAACACTGACATGTGTAGCAAACGCAATAGTCCAAAATGCAGCTACAGGCAATGAAATTGACTCAACGCCGAAAAAATCCCAAACAAGTACTGGAGGGCCCTTGTATCCACAAGCTACAGAAACAAGAGACTTGCGGACACTAGACGGGATATGGAACTTCAGGAAGTCTCCAGCTGATCCAGAGACTGGCTACAGAGCCGGCTGGTTCGAGCAGGATCTCGACAAGGTAATGTACCTCACGGTCATAAAAAGCTACTCCGATGATATCATAAGCCACAGGGCGATACCACCTTAGTCATGTTGGTATGTAGGTGCGGATATGTATACAGTGCACGTTTCCAAGCACAAAAGCCCCAGTTTTGGTGTCTATAAACATAAAGTCTCACGTAAGGAAATTGTTATCGCTCCTCTCAATAAATTACATAAACAGTATACTTAATTCAAGGGTTGTTGCCTCCGGCTCGGATCCATAATCCGCTCACGTAACCCTTTATAAGTACCAAGTGAGTAAAATAAATAAATGGCAAATCCTAAAAAATACTAAGGTCCGTTCTGGAGTTATGGTCGATAAATGTGGATATATTGCAACATACAAATCCACCAATGCCGAATTGGCAACAATGGCTGCTAAAGTGTTCTTATAAGCTGTATGTATAAATAAGGTTCTAACATTATTTCATCACTTGATCTCCCTTAAAACATTTTCAATATTTTTTGGTAAAATTTTATTTTGGGGTATAAGAAAAAAATTGCACATTCTTTAAAGGAAGTAGAACAAGATTATTTGTGATGTTATTTCTGATAAAAAGAACAATGTTCGATACTATTACGAAGCTGGGTACTCTTAGTTGTTATGTTTGAAACAAAATGTCAAATGACTAAACTAAATATATCGTGATAGATTCTTACTGCAAAGCTGTCGACCTTGGCGCCTATGCGTTACTTTACTAATATAATTATGTATGCTTTGTTAAATAATGTCCAAAACTTGTTTACCGATAACGTCTTTGTATCTATAATTTTTATTATGTATTCTGTTGTCATTAATTATATTGTAGCTTATGGAATCTATGGCCTCCCTCGTCATATTAATGAGATTATATTTCGATGATGTTTACTAACTAACTAATATCATAAAGGTGTTATTTTTGGATTCTTTATTCCGACGTCTTAGTATTCCGTTTTAAATACTCGCTTTGGAAAGGGAAAGAAATATTTTTGAACCAGTAAACCTGTTGATAAATATCAATTATTAAGGATTATGTGAGTGAAATCGCGAAAAGCGGATTAAAGCCATTGTAGCAACAAAGCATTTAATATTTGTGTAATATATAAGTATTTGCAACAATTACTCCACTCTTACACTTTCATTAATCTGCTGAAGCATGACATATATAGAAGATAAGTCAGGCTAATGGTTTATATCCAGGTACTTTCCACATATACCAACGTACTTTGGCGAGAGCTAATATGTTTTGTATTATTTCGTAGTGGTCGCGCCTGTCCGTCTGCAGTTCTTAAGATATTTGACCCTGCTTTCTGCTGACGTCGTGCAATATATTTTAACACGTTATAAATCAGTTTGTCCTTTGTTTAAATTTTATATACAACTTAAACTGTATAACATCTATTCATTTTTAATAAAAGCCACAACCTTCCCATCTGTATGTCAAGTATATTTTATGATCAAGCCGATTAACTAAATAAATGATTCAATTACACATTATTTTAAACGTGAACAATGATCCAAAAATCAACCTAAAGCTATATTTCCAAAAAAATCGCTTAATCTATCATAAAAATGGAAAACTATAACAATAAACTGCTTCAAATGCCTACGATGTCCAAAACTTACATTTTTGGAACGTTATTTTTTACATATTTTTTGCGTGTTCAACAGACTGGTCCTGTGCTTCAAATGCCAGTGCCTTCATCATACAACGACGTTGGTGAGGATGTTTCGTTGCGAGACCATGTGGGAGTAGTTTGGTATGATCGGCGATTCTTCGTGCCCTCGTGGTGGGGCACCGCTGGACAACGAGTGTGGCTTCGATTCAGCAGCGTGCACTATGCGACTGAAGTGGTAAGACTAACATTGGAAAATCTATCTACATCAACTACACTGTTCTGTTACGAATATTTAACTTCATCATAATATAAGCCAAATATGTCCACTGTCCAACACTTCGATCCCTAACAGGAGATTTCCATCATCATGTGATTAGAGATCGCAAATTGGTCAACGAAATTAGAAGAGGCGTTATCAACGACATAAGTATTTTCTCACACAAAAATAGGCGTGAAACAACCGCAGCGTTGTGTTTTACCGTGCGAGTGAGGTTAAGAGGGACCAATCCATCTCCTCCTAATATTCAAATGTTGGCAACGCAATCTTAACTCCTCTGGCACTGCGGATGGCCATGGGCGGCGCCGATTGCTTACCATTCTATCACATAAAAAAAACATTTTTATGTAGTTACCATAAATATCATCACTACACAAATACATTTATTTCGCTACATTTCTTCTAAAGCGTACGTAAATTCGATAAACACAGTAAACCGCATTGTTAATTCAAGGGATTTACGCTAACGGACGCGCTGTGCAGAGCGGCGGTTCACACGATTAACATATAAACGGCTCCCAGTAACTATTTCATCTTTTAGACACATCCTTCTTGAGAAAATACATGCCCAAAGAAGTGTTGAATTTTAAACAGTCCGGTCCCGCCGTCCCAGTACGGTCGTCTAGGAATTTGTTACCAAATAAACTCATTGCTTAAGTAAATGTAGAGCTTCTTATGGAAGCTTGGAAATTAGGACATTCTTTATTTATATCTAGATTCATACGAATCATAAGATATTCCCAGAGATATCATAACCTTCAAACGTATAAAATTTTAATCTTTAGAATCTGCTCTTAATTTGACGTAGCTTGTGACGATATGTGAAGATTTGGCAATTTCTTGCAATTTTTTTACAAATGGACCCAAGGGTAATGTTGAGAAACTATTATTTTGTGACAATATCTTGGGATTAATAAACGAGTAAACTATTATAAATCTAAGCCTCAAACTTATAGAAGATACATCAATTTGCTAACCACGTGTAAAATTCTGACAAAATCCAGAAAAGTACTTGAATACAAAAATAGACTACCTATTCGAAGCTGGCATTTATGATAATAATTATTTTTGTACCTTATAAAATATACCTTAGCAACAAGAAAGAGGCGGGGTCCGCAATGTACCGGTGGCTACTGTTGTACTAGAGGTACTAGAGGTGTCGTTGTCACGAAGCGGTCTAACGATTGTAGGTAATTGGACAATTTGTCGTGTCACCCGTCTCTCGAGTTCGCTCTCCATTGACCCGGCAAGATGCCCGACCGCTAACACCTAACATAGGTCTTATATGAACCAGACAAAGCTTTTACAAAACGAAAATTTCTTGTTTTAGATCTTCATACTGCTTCTACTATCATACAAATAAATAATTTAACTTTAAATAAATTCGTATGTGTCTTGCCTTATCTTTCCTGGTACTTGAATACACAGACTAGTGGTTAATGTTTTAAAGACTTAACTCAGAATAGTCGCATCTAATTACGGCGCAGCTGTTAACTCATTAGTATTGGTTGCTTCCATTGATTGATGCGTTTGATTCCGATAATACTTACTTTGCAATGAGGCACTTGACGACTACAATTAAGGTAGTTGTTGTAGCGAAACTAACTGTCACTGATGGCGATAGACGCACGACCGAAATCTACAGTAAAAGTAGTGTAAATCAACTTTATCTACATACATTATGTCAAACTTTCCTCATAGTTTCGCCTCTATACCCCAATGCGGATAGTCTGCAACCAACGAAAGATACATAATATAATTAATATGTAAGTACCTACATATAGCCACACCTTTAAAGCAAGAAGTGTGATATTATGTTTGTCTTCGAGATTGAAATGATGACTTCGCCTTTTTTGGACCCATGCCGTAAAAGCCCCTTTGTCTGTGAAACACGAACGAGACTATCAGACTTATACTAACTAAAAATCATTCCAGTGTCCAGTTCGATAAATATGCGTAGTCAGATCACAATCTGCCTAATTTACGTATCGAACAACGACACAACAATTGTACTAGAGGGCAATAAGAATCACTGACCTCACTTAACTGATATTACTCAATCAACTTCCTGTCGACCGACTTGTCTACTAGACTCGTTCATATCAACCGCTGTTGTTCTGCGAAAGGTAATTCGAAGGTTGAATCGATTAAATTAAGCAAAATGTTGGTAGGGATATAGTAAATAGGGTCTTATAATCTGTGTAGGTCAAATACTAATTACCTAGTTATATGGTGCTATAAATGTTCAAAATTACTTGTCGAACAAAATGTGTAGGTAATATAAGTATGCCTGCGTTTTGGTCTGCGCTTCCCTAGGGAAGGCCAGAGTGAATGAGTTACTTATGGGTAGGCTTGCTCTATCATAATAGGTCGCATCATCGCTTGCCACCAGGCTAGAAAGTGGTCGTTATAAAAAATATATAAATATTCATTTTTCATTTAGGTACATAAATATGACCTAGTAAACTAGTTTAAAGTTTGAACATTATTTGATACAAAATCTTACTTGATTAACGTTTAGCTACCGTTCATAAAAATCAAAATAAACAAACAGAATCTACTCCAACTGCAAATAACGGCATAAATCATTAGAGAGATTTAATCTACCGACCTTATACCTGTAGGAAAGCACAGTAAATAACGTCAAGCATCTCAACGTTACTGCCCTGCAGGCGATACCTCATTACATGACAATGATTTGTAAATCAACCACGAGGCGACTTAGTAATGGGCCCTATAAAGTGGGACATAAAGACCCAATTTGCAGGACAATGTCTCCAGAATGTGGGTCGAGTGCGCACAAATCTGGCTAACATAAACAGATACAAATCATTCAGTGCAGGACGCCTACGGGGTTTCATTCGTATTTGTATTTAAATTATATGGAAATGGAACCAAGGATTAACATGGATATTATTAAGATATAGGTTTTAAGTATATTGTCGTAAGAGTTGTAACACATTTTTCAATACACATGATTTTTTTTGTAAAAATTCTTGGTAAGTGATAGTTTGTATAAAGTTCTGTTAATCTAAACTTGCGCAAAATCTTTTATTTCCAAAATATATGTATAAAGGGCTATATAGCCAACAAGGCAATTAGTGTTGCCCAAATTCAGTCTTTGTCTTGCAGTCTTGGTCTTGTTCTTGCGTTTTTGCAAGACCAAGACCAAGAACAAGACCGCATATTTTTAGCAAGACCAAGACCAAGACTGACCGTGCAAGACTTGAGCTAGAACAAGACATAGCCTGCAAGACTCTCGCGTCTTGCAGCTTGCGACTTAGCGCTATTTCACTGAGTACCTAGTTAGGTGTAACAGTTCGGTGTATAGGTAGGTATGCTTGGGAATTCTATGAGACGCAAAAAACTGTATCAATGAATATGAAAAACTGGACCTATGCGCATTACGACTAATACCATAAACATAGCGAAAAAAAAAACTATTTAAATCAAACTGAGTGCATGCATAGTTATGTTTTAACCATCGGCACTTTGATAATGCGGCATCAAAGGTTTTGTATTTACTTCTCAAAGAAATTTGCCGCTTTTCGGATGTACATGGTTATAAATCTAAAACAATCGTTGCCGCCACGCCGAAATCATAACATTTGACACTATTTGATTGCCGCCATAGGGCGTAGGTATACTCATCCTAATCCTAACTAATATTATAAATGCGAAAGTAACTCTGTCTGTCTGTCTGTCTGTCTGTCTGTTACGCTTTCCCGCTTAAACCTCGCAACCGATTTTAATGAAATTTGGTACAGACAATCTTTAGACCCTGAGACAGAACATAGGCTACTTTTTTTTTCGAAAAACAGGGATAAAGGGGTTGAAATAGGGGTTAAAAGTTTGTATGGGATTTCTTATTTTTTAAAGATAAAACCATAAAACTTAATATTTAAGCACTTGATAAGAAAATATGAAATATTTGTTCTAGCATTTTTGAAAATTCGACCAGCTAGGGGGTGAAATAAGGGTTGAAAGTTAGTATGCAATTTCGTCAAATATCACGTAATAAGAAACAAAAAATCGTTTGTACTACCATTTTAAAAATTTTATCAGTGTGATATGTAGTGAAATAGGGGATGAATTGAAGATAAGACCCGGAACGGATTCGGAACGGGATCTACAAAGCCAACCTTTATGTAGGTATACGAAATCTTAACTATTGAACATAGGAACATGTAATTTAGAAGGGTTTTGGGTGTATCAAGTTACAAAATAGTTCACTTTCGAAGTATAAATTTCTTAATGAACACTCTGCATCGCCGTTGCTGCCGTCGGCGTCGCGCACATTCGCCGAAGTGCGGCGCGGCGCTGTCGTGTGGTGGGGAAGCGCATGAATCTATGTCTACCCGAGTGGACAGACACGTAAGGACAGAGGTCGTTGTCGGGTGCGATAAGAGAAATTTGCGCTTTAGAGAATTACATTTTTCGATCCAGTAAAATTATTTTATTGTTTCGTCTATAACTTTTTAAGTGTTTTTTATTCATTAATCCTGTAAATAAATTTTGCACATACTTATATTTCTTTTAGTTCATAGTTACAACGTTACAAGTAGGTAAGATAGTTTCCGTTACTTTAAATAAATACGATTTGCTTTTATTTCCTTTTTTTATTCAATTAATCTAATAGCATCCTACTTTTGCAATGGTTGTAAATAAGTACTTATCCAAGTAGGTGCAGGTAGGGTGAACAAAGGTTTTTTAATATAATAAATCTTAATCTGTACATCTGTTTTGTTCGATTCATTTCATTTTTGTTGTTCTACGATGCCTCGCAAACGAAAGTCCAATTTAGCTAAAAGTTCTACCAGAGCTCGGGCTGCTAAACTTGCCAGATCACTGGAATGAGACTTCTCGACAGACCCAAGCTCGCCAAGCCATTGATGCCGAGCGTCACGCGGCTCAAAGAGCTGCTGAGACCTCTCAACAGTCCCAAGCTCGCCAAATCA